CAGTCAGAGTGTACCATTTAACTGCTATGCTCTTGTAGAGTTTACCCCAACTCTGATACTGACTTCACAACATATCTTTACTACTTTGGTATTCAATTCAAGTTCCACCAAGCTCTCAAACCAGATAACCTGAAAAGGCAGGTCATAACCATACTTCTTTGGTTTATATGTTTGCTGACATGTAAGCTTTTCCTCCAGAACCTGGAAATTCCAGTGGCCTGGTTGGTTCCATTTGGCCCCTCCTTAAAGGCCGGCTCTTTTTCCAGTTTTACAAGTTCTAGCTTTGTTTCATAGGTCTAGACTTTACAGTAGTACTGTCAAAAGTTCAGATTACCTCTTTATTCGGATCTTTCAAGTAGGCTTCCATCCTTCTACCTGGTTTCCATAATTTACATGGCCTAAGGACTTATCTTGGGTTTACACCACCCAGTACCAGTTTGTGTTCCTTTGTACAACATTGTATGAATGCCTAGACCTTCCAGTCAGGCTGGTATGACATGGGTTACAGATATCCTATCTCAACCAATCACAGAAAACAGTTAGCTATAATACAGAAAGAATTGCAAATTTTTGCCAGCACTAGGATTTGAACTCTAAACCTGCCACTTGAGGGTTGACAACCTATCTACTTCACTAGGTAACCACACCCCAAAAAATACAAAAGTTATGCTAGATATCTTGCCCGTATATATTAAGAAACTTATTTAAGTTTAGTTTTTCTTTTATAATCAATTATCATAACTGTCACAAATTTGAAAAACTCTATTGTTAAAGTTAATTTGATGTAATTCAGAACCCATGATTAAGAGTATTCTTAAGCATCTTCTTTAATATAATTAGCTAGTAATAGAGATTATGCACTAGCACTATGGCAATTTTGCTAAAGATTCATAATATGAACTCTGATAAAAAAGATAAGTTTGGCTTTTTTTTTTTCATTGCGATAATAAGCAGTCAAAATATTTTCTACTAATTAAAAACTGAATATCAACTTATTAATTTAGATGCTTAAATGCATCCAAGTTAAGAGAGATAGATAGAAATTAGAACCCTATGAATTTAAAAAATAAATAAAAAAGGTGTAGTGACTTAGTGAAATAGATAAGTTGTCAACCCTCCAAGTGGTAGGTTGGGAGTTCAAAACCCACTGATGGTGAAAATTTGAAAATCCACCTATATTACATCAGTGTATACGGGCATCTGTGCAATGTTGGAGTTACACAGAGGAATGCAAACCAGCATTGGGTGGTGCAAACACAAGATAAGTCCTTGAAACCAGTAATACGACAATGTCTATCTATCGATCAGTTGGGATCAGTATCTGTAACATGGTTACACCAGATAACTGGCAGGTCATGGGGCATCTGTGGCCATGTAAATCTGTGAACTGGGATAAACAAGCCCACTTGGGAAGACCTGAGTAGAGAGGTAACATGGATTTTTGACAGTACTACTGTAAAGACTAAACCTAAGAAACAAATACCAATGTGGAAGAAATCGGACGAGCAAGAACCTCGGTAAGGGGTACCACCAACCAGGCCACCAGAAAACTCAAACCGGAGTAAAAGGACCTTGGAGAGCAGACCCTGGGATACCAGAGACAGGTCACAGTCCTACCAGACTATCTGAATTGGGAGTTTAAGGTCAGAAACAGGGGTATACTAAAGTATTAGGGATATGCTGTGAAGTTAGTGCTAGGGTCTGGGTGAACTCTGCAAGAGTGAGCCCTGTTAGCAAAGATTAAATGTAGGTAGTTAGCAGGGGGGCCCCCTGGAGCCCTATAGTCAGGTGACATACTCTGAAATGTATAATGGCCTGACAGATGTACAGACAGAGAGGTCATGGTTAGGTTAGACAACATCTAATTAGGTGTACAGGAGCTTGTGCTGCTATCTGCTAGTGTAGTATAGGGGTAACTTTGTACAAGTTATATAATCATAATTGAATTCACAATAAAGGCAGTAGCCATCATAACTAAATGGCCTTAGCGTAAGCAAAAAAAATAAAAAATAAAAAATAAATAAATAATCAGCATTATTAATACAAAGCAAATTTAAGGGTGTTCTCAAGTAGCTTCCTCAATGTGAAATCAAGATGTTGCTTAAACTATTATGATTAATTGAGTGATTAATGTGATTAATCGAAGGACAACTTGTTAAAAATTCATTGTACAAAATGCAAATTCTAAATTTTAGCTAATTAGAGCAACTCTATGAAAAAAAAGATGGTCTATATTTCTAGTTTTATTCATCAAAATAGTAATTTGCTTGTTTGGTTTATTCAATTTCAAACTAATTAAAATTTTACTTCTGATCTATTAATTGAAGTGCTTGAGGACACCCTAAGTATAGATAATTTTAAAATATATATTTAGCTTTTATCCCATAATCATGCAGATACATACATATATATATACATATATATATACTTCCTTTAAGTCAAATATATAGTTATTCTGGTTTTAAAAACTGCTATAACCATTCAATATTTTGATTTCCATATTAATTTTCTGAAATTGTATATAATAACAACCAGCATATAGCTTATTTTCATATACTAATATTTTCTATTGCAGTTGGTGCATTTAAATCTTGACTGCTAGTACTCATTATTTATATTTTATTTGTATTTGGTATGTTTCGTATTTATAAATTGCAATACTATGTTTTTTTTAAAAAAACAATAAATTAACTATAATTCCAGAAAGAATTAAGCAAGGCAAACCTTCCGAAGTTTGGGTGTGATACAATCACAGTATTTATTGTTTGTAATTCTTACTAAAATGATCTTTCAGAACTATATAAATTATAATCCTAAAAAATCATTCTGTTAGCAAAAATATTATTTCTCACATATCTCACAACTTTCAGTTCAATTTGAAATGAAAATTCAGATCATTAGATGTTAGATGTTATGACAGTAGCATATAGAAGATCTGGCTAATTCATTTTAATCAAGTTTTTTATGATCATGATTGTACCAAAAATATGATATTTTTTAAATCACTAAACCTTTTAATAACAATTAGACAAAAATTGAACTTCTACAAAATTGTATACAATCTACCTTCATTATAACAAACTCCATTATAGCAGATATCTTATTATAATAAAGTAATTTCCTAGAACAATTTAAAATTTTTATTATTATGCTATATAACACTATAGTAAATGTTCATTATAATGGATAGAATTTCTTAACCTGATTATTACGTTATAATAAGGTAAACTGTATTATCAAATAACTTTACATCTTCAAAGCAACTAATCTAAATACTAACCAGATAATAATATTTTTAACAATAATTTTGTATTCAGATAAGATTTTTATATGCAAGTAGGTAATCTAAAGCTTAAATTTATACTGAATCAAATTTCTAAACAAATTGTGCTAAAAGCAAATTTTATACAATTTAATTTTATCTCTATTAAATCACATTTTTTATTTTAATTATAATCTGTGCTTATGTAGAAGTAATTTTTATAAAATCACACCTCTTTATAATCACTCTATAAGGGTGTGCCCAACTGTGTGATTATATGGAGGAATGACTGTATTATAAAAATAATAAATTATATTTTAGAAAAATGATAAAAACAAATAAAAAAAAAAAGTAATTCTTATATACTTTTTTTTTGTCAACACGTCCATTGTTGTGATCGCGATTTTACAAAACAAAAACACGAACAAACACGGTAAACGCGAGTAAACATCAAAAAACCCTCAATAAAAAATAGATGAGCGGTATAAATTGGGTAATTATCAAATGAACATACTATAAAACGGACTGTAATTTAATTGGTTAACTTTCGCGTGTCAGAAAATCATAGAACTTTTAATTCGAATCAATTGCCTGGGTAACTAATAAAGTACTGCACGCCACTGACTAAAGTACCCCTCTACTATAATACCCCATGAACAAGACACAGGTACAATTCATGGTTCACGATCGAGAGATTGAAAAGACCCAGCTATGTTTCTAATTGTCCTACGGCCTTTAGGATTTGTCATTCTTTTGATTGTAAATTACTTACAATTGTATTTATACAGTTTAGAATAATTAAAAACGTCGATTATATATAACAAAACTTTTTGAGGCAGCAAATTTCTGTTATATTAATAGATTTTATTAGCATTACTTAAATGATTTACAAGATTAAACTATTCGCACCATAATCACCATCTAGCTAAATAATCCCCAATATATTTTATTAAGCATGGATATAATACAATTGCATTTCGATTTTACAAATTTTGATTTATTCTAAAAAATTATAACTAATCTAATCGGAATCCAAGCAAATTATTTGTGATTGTCTAAAAGCTGCCATGAGCGCTTTATCGAGTAGATTGTTCTCCGATTGCATCGCAATGTATTTTTCAATGTCGAATTCTAACTTTTGTAATTCACGATAAACTCTTATTAATGCTATTAATCTGTTTGTCACATCTTCTTGACTCTTTTGTAATTTATCGAATATCATCATAAAGTGATTAATCATAGATTTATTTGAATTAGGTGTATTACTTCCATTAACTGAATTAAATTCCTGAGAAATTGGGCTTGTTCCCTGAGGAAGTTGTAAATATGTGGTAGTCATATTATATGCATTTTGTGGTGGCTCACTGTTTTCAACTGCAACAAGACGAGGTTGAACAATTTGAGCTACAGCCGGACTACTAGAATTAACTGAACTATTGGTCATTAACGAACTGGTCGCCTGAAGCTCTACAGGATAACCATCATACCCTTGTCTACGCATCTGCATTTGACGATAATATTGCTGCATGCGCAATTGTGCAAAATATTGTTGCTGCCGTTGTATATTTAGTACTGTCGGAGATTCTGAACTCTTCTGATTATATACTGGTGCGATATAACGAGAGTTATGTTGAATATTGCCTCTTTCTGTCGAAACCGGCGTTAATTGTTTTTGTTGATAATTGACCATTTCACCTGAAACGTATGTTAACGGTTGTCTAACGTATGTTAACGGCTGTCTAACATAAGTGTTCCCACCCTCTGAACCGGGTGTCATTCGTTGTCCATTTTCCATAACATTCACTTGATTCTGAATATTTGTTTGATTCCTATTTTCTATTACATTCACTTTATTCTGAACAATTGTTTGTTGTCTATTTTCAATAACGTTCACTTGACTCGGGATAGTCACTTGATTCGGGATAGTCACTTGGCTCGGGATAGTCACTTGACTCGGGATAGTCACTTGGCTCGGGATAGTCACCTGGTTCGGGATAATTGTTGTTTGTTGTCCATTTTCCACAACGTCCATTTGACTCTGGGTTTTTGCTTTTTCCTTTCGAGCATTTTTTCCAGGTCTTAATTTAACTTCTTCGACCATATTCATGCCCATAACATCCTCATCATCTAGATCATCCGAACTGGACTCAGATGAGGTTTCAATGCGTTCTGACGGATCAAAGTCTGGATCAGTCGCAGGAAGTTGCTTCTTTTTCTGTTTTTTCGACGAGGATTGATAATCTCCTTCATAATAATTCTTATCATGATAAAATACATCTATTAGATAACGAACAAAAATTGTTGCATTATGCTACGACAAAATTACTCACAACTTTATTTCGTTTTCTCGCCCCACGACCTTCAATAGTCACTACCTTCGACGGCTTGGCGACGTGCGCCAGAAGTTTATCCCAGAAATCGTTTGATGGTTTAACTCCGTCCCGCTCTTCAGTGTTGATCTCATCAATTATGACCTGATTTTCGGTGTCCCATACTCGCGCGAAAGCGAATCCGGTCAAGTTTTTGGACTCCGTGTTTTTTTCAACAACCTTCATCTGAGAACGGTCCAACAACTTCTCAATTGCTTCGTCCGTATAAATTCCGACAGGTTTTTCATTTACATCTTCACTAAATAATGCTCGCACTCCACAACGAATTATGTCATCTACCTCTTCGACGTCGAGAATTTCATCATCCATTTTCTCCACAACAAGCTCATTTTTGGCGAGTTTTATTTTACCTTTTTCTACTATACGTTCTTCTACTGAAAATTGAGTAATAAACCTAAATACTTTTACAGGTTTAAATTGACCGATTCTATGTACACGACTCAAAGCTTGTATGTCTTGATGTGGATTAAAATCTGGATCAAATATAAACACCGTGTCAGCAGCCATCAAATTCAATCCAACGCCACCAGCGCGTGTTGATAACAAAAATATAAAGATATCCTTGTCAGGTGCTTGAAAAGCGGAAATATTCTCCTGTCGTACTTCATTTGATGTCGATCCATCCTATCATTAAAGAAATTAAATATCATGCGATGTAGAGCATAAAATTCCAACATTACTTACAAGTTTCACATGTGAATATCCTTCATCCTCACAAAATTCTTCTAATATTGATAATATATCAACAAATTGGGAGAATATTAACACCCGATGTCCGGTATCATGTAATTTTCTTAGCATATCTCGCAAGATAATGAGTTTTCCACTTGATTCTACAAGCCTTTTTCGTCGTTCAGCGTTATAGCTTTCATAATTTTCATGATCTTCACCATTATCTACGTCACGATTAATAAGGTATGGGTGACAAACGATTTGTCGTAGCCTCATCATTATATTAGAAAATCCAGTTGATTTACATCTTGCTTTTGTGACCTCTCTCAAAAATTCAGCGTTCTTTTCAAAAGTCTCTTTATAAATCTTTTTTTGTACAGCAGTCATGCTAACGCGAACTATTACATCATCCTATTATTATTAATAATGTAATAATCTATGTATCAAAACTATAAATATAGACAATAAAAACTTTAAATGTAAATGTAAAAATGTCAAGTTACCATTGGAGGAAGCTCTATATTGACTTGGTTCTTAGTACGTCTCAAAAAGTAATTTTTCAACAACTTATGCAATGCTGGTAATTGTTCGGCAGAAGGTAGTCCTTGATATTTCTCGGATAATTCCTTTGGTTTTTTAAATGCTTCATGACCCAAGAAATGGAGCAAATTAAATAGCTCATCTATGCTATTCATTAATGGTGTACCTTTAAATTAATCAAGAAAAAAATTTAAAATAACATTATTAATTAACCTTTACTATTATAAACTTGAAAATCAACTCAAGACAATAATTAAACCTACCAGTTAATAAAACTTTGTAAAATACATTTTTCAAAGTCGAATTCAATTGCCTGAAGACTTTTCTTGTATCACCACCTTTCAGGCTGTGTGCTTCATCGACAACCATTACTTCCCACATACGAACTTTTGAAAGGACTCTAGAGCGAGTAAGGACAGTTTCTGGTGTAGTTATCACCACGTGACACTTCAACGATGATTCATCTGGAAACATTTCGTATTTTTCAACAACCTCACAAGATTCTTTGTCCCCATGAAATTCTACTGCGACTAAATTAGGAGCCCATCGCTTAAATTCACGAGACCAGCCCGCAGTTGTAGATTTTGGCGCGACAATAATGAATGGGTAACAATGGCGATCTTTAAATAGTATATTAAGAAATACTATTATTTGAATTGTTTTTCCTATTTTTTATTGAAAAGATATACGATATTATTTAAATTTACAGTTGTATATAGTAACAAAACTACGTTAAATAGATTTTACCTAGCCCCATTTCGTCAGCAAGGACGCAGGAAGTTTCTAGACTCCAGTTGTGTAATAGCCAGCTATAAAAACATTAATTGTTATTTTATGGTTTAATAATAAATCGAAACATAAACAGAGAAAAAACTTGCTTTATGCCATCCAACTGATAATCCATCAATTTGTTTTTATATTTTGGATTACTTGACAACCACGCAGGTTGTTTCCTTATCTCCTGAAATGATCTATCCACGAATCGATCCATTACACCAATTTTGTAAGCTTTGCGGCGAATTTTTAGGGCTTTAGCAAACTTCTTTTCATCCAACTCAGATATGTCTTCCCATGTAGCTATAGTAAAGTAAGTAAAGTAAAGGCAGTAATATATAAGTATTATAACGTGGTGTTATTAAATCACATGAAGAAAAAAGACCCACATTCAATGTACTTAAGGCCTTTCCATTTTATATATGCCCTTTTCATTGTTTCTACGCCTGATCCACCCTTTTTGGAGGACAATTTCTCTCGTAGAGTTTTATTATTAGAATACTCTATGTCAAGGACGCGGTGTATTTTTAGCCATTCACGAGGAATAACATCTTCTTCACTTAAGGGCACAGGGTTTGTTTTCACGAAATATCGATATCTTAGACTCGAAGCATTCATTAACCAATACCCAGGAACCCATTCAACTTTACGATAAGATCGACCTTTGAATTTAACAAGCACCTCAATTTCAGATGCTTTTAATAACGTGTTTGATTTGTCCAATATAGGTGATTGATCTTCGGATTTTTTCGAAATGTATCTGAATGTTAATATTTTATCAACTTCCCATTCCCAACGTCTACATAAATGACAATTCCACGTCTCGCGATAAAAGTCTATATTAAGATCAGGTGGACCACCTTCATTTAATTGAGGTAGGCAATCTTCATGTGCAGTGAGTTTGCAACGATTGCACCGAAATAATAAATTTGGATAAGGGTCTGATATCGAGCTGGAAGATGACGCCGCGTCCTCTTCGTTAATGGTCACCTCTTTAGATTGCTGAAGATCATCGCCATTTATTTCTTCGCTGGACTGTTGAATCTCATTTACCACTTCTTTATTTACACTTATTTCTTTAGGTTGTTGATGTTCACCACTTATCTTCTTGCTGCTCTCCTCTTCCGAGCGTTTATGACAAATAATGCACTCAGGATCATTTTCGATACAATACTTACATTTAACAATACCATTCACAACTATATTCCTTAATTGATAGCATGATCGATGATACGTAATTGAACATTTTTCGCAATATACAAAAGTTCCTTTGGATTTGTTGTCACCACATCTTTCACACCACCATATGTGCTTTTCAATAAATTCTGGATCATCCTTTCGTAGCATCTTATACGGAGGAATTGGATCCACTATATGTACATACTGCAATTCAACCTCTGACTCCGTTATTGAAGCTTTTGGGGCGTGTTCATCAAATGCATTCGAAGTTTCTATTATTGTTTCGTTATCAGACTCATCTGAAGATACAATATGATAATTTTTCTTGATCTTCCGACGAAAAGCATGCCTTTCTTGAACAGACGACTCAGACGATTCAGATGATTCATTTGGTTCAGACAACTCTGACACATCGTCGTCATCACTATTAGAAGTCCCTTCATAGTAGCTGGCCTCCTTGAGATTTATATTATTTCGAAGAGATCGTCTTTTTTGTTCAGATGAATCATATTTATCGGCTTTATGAGATTTTTTCCGCTTATTTATTAAGACTCGTTTTGAAGGTTTAATCCGTTTCTTTTCAATCTCGTCATCTGAAAATTCTTTTGCTTTCCTTTTCGAATTTCCATTATCGTCAAGACGACTTGAATAATATTTTTCATCAGAATAATTGATTCGTGCCCTATTTCTTGAAGAACGCGTAGTGATTTGAAAGTCTAAATCCGAACTGTCATCATCATCATCATCATCATCCAATTCATCATTCATTATTTCATCTCTGCCTGCCAATTCATGTTCTGATATTTCGTTATTTTCTGTGTCAGAAGTACTTTCTTCAGATTCAAGCTCACTTTCTGAAACTTGTTTATGCACTTCGACTTCCTAAAATTTCAACAATATTTAGAAATTTGTTAAGATATTGACATTAGTGAATCATTCAATCATTAACTATAAAATCACTAACTTCTGGGGTGTGATCTTCTTCAGACGAAGTTGACAGAATAAAGGCTTTTCTATTAGATGACCTAGTCATTCTTGAAGTAGGTTTTTTTCTACCCCGTTGTGACGTTTGAAAGGTAACCTTTCTTCCGTCTCGTTTCGACCTTGTAAGCATTGTTGGGAACTATTGGAACTATTCAATATAAATCAACGTGAGTTATGCTCTTCTCAAAACGTGAAATTACGCAAACTTATCATTTGACGTGTGAAAAATAAATCTCTAGATTTACTAGGACATCTATATTAAAATATAAAATTTAACATACCTTTTGAGAAATATTGAAAGCTTTTCTTTCACTAATCTTGAAATAAACAAAAAAAGATTTGAAAGTTTAATCAGTTACGAGAGATGCAACGCCATCAAAGGTCCAGCCACTCAGACCAGTTATGAGTGACAGTAAATCTTTGCGGTATAGTCTTGTAGCTCAAAACTTACCTGTTGGAGTCACGGTAAGGAAATAACTTATGTGTTCTTAATGATGATCACCTTTATATTTTGTAACTCCTTGTATCACGTGACATGTAAAAATAAAAACAATAAAAATGCTTGCACGTACGTTAGTGTCCAGACTCGTGCAATTTAAAACGCATTTTCATGCAATATAAAAATTTTTGATTATGTGATATCAGTACAATTAAATTAGGGATTAAAATCAAATAACGATGACAATAACTACGTAGCAATTATTACTAGGTACAGTACTACGCCACACCGTAATTGTTTAAATAATTACAAAGTTACATATTAAGTTATGTGCATTGGCTTTTATTATATTGATATTAAGCAATATTGCATTTTGCACTAGTTATCACGCTTTTATGTGCCTAAAATGTAATTGCACAAGTCTGGACACTCTAACGTAAGTAATAATCATCTCAATAATTAATAATGCGGCATAACGTAAATGTGTACAAGGTTGTTCTCCGGAAAGTCATGTGATAGTCTGAAAACTACTTCAGAATAAAATAAATTATAGAAACTTATTAAAATATATGTTAAATTTACATTTATAATTAATTATGATTTAGAAGTTTACATTCAAATTTGTTTACTGTTCAATTATATTATTACAATTTAGAAGTTTACATTTAATTTTTTTTTTATTTTAGAAATGTTGTTTGACAAATTATATGTTTTTTTAAAAGTTTTTTTTTATTACAATAAGATCAAAATATTTCCTTTAGATATTTTATGATTTTTTTTATTAGATCAATATTAGTTATATTTAAATGTTTGTCTTACTTTATATCAATTCAGCTTATATAGTAGAATTTTATTAATAAAGATAAGAAACTAAACTTCTACTTAACAAAAATTCAGTTTTTTATATCTTTTTATAAAATATTCAAGACTCAAACAGATGATTAATGTTTTTTATTTTATCTAAAATATAATGAAAAAACTTCTAATTGCTTTAATATATGTATTCATAATTTTGACATTAGCAAAATTATTTATAAATTAAAAGAAATTTAGTAAAAAATTTAAATAATATTAAAATATTTATTTATATAAAGATATTGCAATTATATATAGTAGGTATATCATCTTAACATTAAATACAAAGTTATAACTTAAATATTTTTTGTTTGTATTTTAATATATATAAGTACATAGACAATCCTTATATTATTAACTAATAATTTTATAATATTTTGTTAAATTTATTATTATTTTTATTATTTAATTCAATACGTAAATATTAATATGTTTTTTATGTTTTTAAATTTGATAGATTTGTAAATCTAAGATTACGTTATTATTATTAATACTAAGTTTATAATATTTAACATTTTTGTATAAAATCTTTTGAATTTGAAAATATTATTTATTCATATATATTTTGCAATATGTTTAATATTAAGTAAATCTTTGCATTAACTAATTGAAAGCTAAAAAGGCAACTAAACTTAACAAATAATTATAAATAAAATAAAGATTAATTTTTAATAAATAAAAAATTATAAGATTTGAATTCTTTAATTTAAAATTAAATACAGTATAACTGTATAGTTTATATTTCTGTTATGCTGACTATTAGAATTTTTAACTTCATAGTTTTTATTTTTTTACTTTACAATATATATTATTATAAATACAATGATTATGTTTCTTTAAAAATAGCTTTATATCTTTTAAATTCAGATAAAACATATAAAAGTTTTTAATATCTCTTAAAAATCATTTAAACAATCTGAAATGCCTTCTTTGATATTAATAAATTAATCCTAATTTGTCTAATATTCACATTTTTAACTGCAATTATTGATTCATGTTCAATATAATTTTTTATAGAATTTGTAAAATAGGGCCAGTAAATCAGCTAAATTTGATTTCTCTTTTTGTATTTTTTTTTAATTTTAGTAATGAGCACAAACAAGAAAGCAACGAAATGAAAGTGAAATAATAATGAAAAAACGAATTAAATCATTATCGTTATCATAATGTAACATTATTAATCATCGGGATAATATATTAATGATCCGATGCCATAATCCGGCATATTATGTGATCGTCTAGAGCAAAGCCTTGTACACATTTACGATGTGCAATAATATGTAATTATTGTGCATTAAAGCTAGTTTAAGCAATTTTAATTTACTAAAAGAACGGTGAATACTAGTATTGCAGAAGCGTGTCTCAATTCTTCGCTATATGTATTAATATTATTGGACATATGCGGCTTGTGCAACATTGTCGCTCTTTGTTTCAATGTATACGTAACAATAATAATTAACAATTGTGTCTAAAGAGTTTTATTGCAATAATAGAAGTACGTACGTACTTATAAACAAAAAAAAAACTTCTTAATTTATACTAGCATGTAAAAACACGAGTGCAATTCGTAGATTCAATGTGATACAAAATTCAACTCTAATATTAAAGTTTATTATATTGATGTAGCAAAACTAAAAATTAACGTAGAGTCTATAATAGAGTATTGCTACGTAGGTTTAACTAGTGATACGTAGTAGGGCTGTTCATTTGACAATATAATTGTCTGACATAATGAGATGGACTTATACCAGTATTACATACATATGATTATAGAAATTCAATATTAGCAAAGATAGTAAAAAAGGTCACTGTTCAGTTACTTTTCATCAACCCGGTATATTTAAAAATTCAAGAAAGTTATATACTGTCAACTACTGATATAACGGACACCTTTAGACAGGATTCACCGGTTTATGGACAAATTGCAAAGAACCGAATTTTTAATATATAAATGGTTATAACGGATTAATAATAAATAAGCAATATAACGAAGATTTTTTTTTCAGCCCAAATCTCAGTTATATAGATAAGTTGACGGTATATATGTTTTTTTTAAATAAATAATTTTTTTTTTTACATAAATTTACATATAAAATTTAGTGTATCAATTTATTTGATTTATAAGTAATAGCAATAGAAGTTCCTGCATCAGGACATGTCCTGTGACTGATATTAAATATCGCGAGAGAAACTGAAGACTAGTACTATTTTTTTTTTTATATATATATCACCAAAAAATTTATTATAAAATCTGAATTAGTGGTCACCACTATGTGATCTGCACTATGTAATTAGGCCCCTAACCAGTGATCTTTATTTATACCCGAATTCAACTTTAGAAAAGTCTGTAATCGTATTGGGTTTGATGATCTAAATAAAAATGACCAATTCCGCAAGATTGTAGATCAGTCGTGTGCGAACGAAACTCTATTGCTGATGCTAGAGATATCAAGCACTTATTCGAGACATACACAGAAGTCTACCTTTATTTGAAGGAAAACTCACTCCTTTTGTCCATTTTGCTAGTTACAAAACTCATTCATTTTTCTTAAACTTCATTTTTTCGTGACGATGCCACTACTGCAAGTAGGATTTTCATCAATCAACATTTTCAAAGCCTCTACATCGTCTTTCTTTTCTTCATCTTCTTTTGCATTTTTAAGTTTCGCATCTTTTTTGACCGGTTTGTTAAAATGAAGCAAATAATGATGTCTAGCAGTTCTTAAAGCAAACCATTTGTTTACCTAACATATAATAATTTTATCAGATAAATAAGGTTATTGTATTGGATAAATAATGTCGCGGATCATAATGAAATCGGATTAAAATGAAATTTGGGGGTTTCTATCCACTTATACTTGATTTACTATAAATTCTACCCTAAAAGCTGATCCCAGACTCCCAAAAAAATGTACCAAAAATTTTGTATTTTTTGGTGGTTTGTCGATCTTGTACTATGCAAATTTCATTTTAATCTGATTTCATTTTAATCTTCCACATTTTATTCAAATTTAAACCGTTCCAAATATAAAAGTTATCAATTACCCAGCATTTTTCTTTTAGTTCCTTCTCTTCCACAGTATCTGATGGATCAAAGGTAAACCCTAATTCTGGCTATATAAAATCATGAATTAAAATGTAATGTTAGGAACTGTATTAATAAATAAAAATTAAAACATTACTGACTATAACTTACCGGATAACCATCTTTCTTTATTTGTTCGTACACAGAATCAAAATCCGGTGGTATTATTTTACGGGAAGCATCTGCCATGAATTCATCATCATCATCATTTCTCGTCCAAAATTCCGAAAGCTTGGTTATTTTACTTTCGAAAGGTTCCTTAGGTTTATTCATCTTAGCCTTTCTCTTCAAAGCTTCGGCAAAATCTTCACGCGCTCTTTCTGCTTTATCTTTAATTTCTTTATCTGAACCAAAAGAGCAATTATCAGCAAATTTCCAATAATTCCATCGTTTTTCCATGTTAAGTATATGCAGTATTGTTCGAACAAAATTTTTTCCATTTAGTGTTGTTTCTTCAAGTTGTCCAATGACTTTATTCCATATTTCTTGGACCATATGTTGCTATTATTTCGTAAAATCAGAATCTAATGTGATATATGTCTCGTAACGATAATTTATATTATGACTAACTTGTGGTTCCATGATCGTATAGGTGGGTAATTGAACTGCAGCATTATCGTGGGGTGCTTTCGCTTTGTTAATACGAGCCTGCTCCTCTGGGAAAAATCCTGTAAGGTACTGCATTATAATAAGAATTTGTACTAATACAATTCTTCGGAAATTTGGATCGGATATCTTTAAATTAAAAATATTGTAATAGTTATTAATAAGAACTAATAAGTAAATTTTAGGCAGTAAAAATGTCTGTACCTCCTTATCGAATAATGCAAAACTCGATAAATATTTAGGAAAATATTTAACGTAATCCTTAGAAAACGTTATTGACTCATCCTCATCAGTTTCCATAAATTTTCTTTTCTTTCCGCGTCCATCATCGCTTGGAGGAGACGGAAGTCCAAATTCGAAATCATTATTTCGACTTCCCCCTAAATTTTCTTCAGCAGTCTTGAGTTTCTCACGAGCAATAATATCAGAAAATCTGTTTAAAATAATGCCAATATTCTTTTGGCAGTGTTTCGGTTAAGTCATAAAACGTAATCAATCATAAATAATGAATCACAACCAATATTGACTAGTTATATCAGCTTACATTAAGAACAACTTCCAAATTATTGTCTTTAAATAATTTCGGTGGATTGCTAAAATAAGTTTGAAGACTCCAAAAAGTATTGTAAAATGCAGCTTCATCTCCTAGAATAGATATAATCAGATACCTATCAACTAAAAAAAAATTTTTTTGATTGTCTCTAAATAATTTGAATAGTTAATTCCATACCATCCTGTGTTGCGCTATAATGCGTAACATTATCAACATTACATTCACCTCCTTTGTTAACGCCTATTAAACACAAAATTATTAGCATATTACGCAAATTGAACCATTAAGTAATTATATTTAAGTATTGAATGAAAGAATTATTTGATACATGCCTGAAACTTCACCAAGCGCGTATGTATTAGATAGAAATATTAAGATTCTGCCACGGAATGCATTATGATTTGACTTAGATGCTCTACGTATTAGTTCGTTCGAGAGTCTTAATAAAATTAGACCCTTTCCTTGTGTTGGTATCAAATTCTTGTACGATAGAATAGTAATAATTCAGTCAGTTATAATGGAACCATAAATTAATATAATTTAATTTTCAAATTTAAATTTTAGCATACCACAAGCAACCTTTTCTTGTTTATTTCCAAGAAGCTATATAGTTTTTCGCAGACCTCCAGAGGTTGCGTCTCCATCAACTCTTCCAAGATCGTCAAAGTTATAGCTTGTTCACATAAAGCTAATGTAAAAGCAATGTTAATTACTTTATTCCTCAACAATAATTTACATGATATAAAAGTTTAAAGCTCGAGTTCACTTACAACCCTCAGCCTCATGACACCCTAAAACCAGATTCAATAGCTTGAATGCGGCCGGTATGAGACGATCAGGTGGATATGTCTAATATGAACAAAATTTAGAAGTGGTTTCACATTGAAAATTATTTATTAACACTATTAAATAATATTGTATTTACAGAAATTCTCGCAGATAACTTTTTGAAGACATGTTCAAGAGATGCCTTCCTTAAATCAACAACTTCCTTGGTTGCATTTGCAAGTGGTACCAGGCATTTTTTGATATTATCTTCAAGTTGCTCCTGAGATTCGAGGCAACGATTGACTGCTTGTTCGATCTTGGAAGCTAGGCTATCGAAGGTTGCCATTCTTACTACTGAAAAGGGAGGCCCATAAAACGGAATCAAGGTAGATTAATGATTACGGCTCGTACGGTAAAATGATCCTAGAAGGCTAATAAGAGAAGGAAAGCAAGCGTACCAAAAAACGAACGATTTTTGCAGAGCTCGAAGGGTTCAAACTGCTTTTGTAATAATATTATTCGTAAGTACAAAAAGTTTCCAAAAAATATGGAATACATTCATATGATTTATGATTGGTTAATTTTTGTAGATCTACCCGTGATTACCCGTGATTACCCGTGATTACCCGTGATTACCCGTGACAAATTATATAATTTATTGTATACTCTTAGCACGGCCAGCAAAATAAAATTTCATAGTTTTCAAAAGTTCAGTCCGCATTTTACTATCCGGCCCGTGCAGGCCTTTAGTGGGCTTTTAGTTAACGGTCTCAAAAAGTATTTGCATCTAGGCCTCCGCATGGGCCAGGACTACCCATGAGTACCCTAAAAATAGTACTAAGGGCCGGCCTGGGCATTAAGTTACAAGCCCTAGGGCAGAATAGGACTAAAAATCCAGCCCCTTAAATTACATGGGTAGGGCTTGAGCCCCGGCCTGTGTACCCGTAGGCAGTGTTGTACGCGGACATTGTCCCATCAAAATTGCGCGGACACGGACAGTCCCGGACAGTCCCAGACAGTGTCCCATGTCCCGGACAATATCCATGTCCGTGATGGTTGTCCCATGTAATATATTTTATCGAACAACCTGA